AGTTGAACCCATAAAATTAAGATGGCCCAGCTACCATTGAATCGCTTCATCGCCCACACGGCATGTTTGAACGCATGGGCATCCTGCACGGCCGCTTCTTGAAAATCGTGGATCTCTCTTTAGGGATTATGCGGTTATGTTGCGTTCATATATGGTATCAATTTAACTCGTGCATATAGTACTGTAGTGTAGGACTTTAGTTCATGGTCCCCCATTGCTACACCACATATTTATACTCACCAATCCTCCCAAGAAACCTCAGATACAGCCACCAAAAACCATGATGAAGGCCTGGCATCATACAATCTCAATTTCCATGTCATATTCCATTTGATTCTCCATTATTTTACCCTAAGCCCTATATATCCCTGCATAACTTGCCCTGCGCAATTACCCTAAGCCCTGTATATCCCTGCGTAATCACCCTGCTTCATATATTTTACCCTAAGCGCTATATGTCCCTACGTATTCACCCTGCTTCTCACAATCACGCTAAGCTCTATATATCCCTACGCAATCACCCTGCTTCATGTTTTACACTAAGCCCTAGATATCCCTACGCTGCCTCATAATTACCCTACATCCTGTATGCCTACTATGTAATCACCCTTCTTCATGTGAGCTATAGTCTAAACGCCTAGTATTCCTTTTAAAATCCTTATAGTACTCCCCTATATAACCCGCTTTACGGAGCTTAGACTATGGCTCATATGCAGTTCAATGATGGGTGTCCTAAAAGCTGGGGATGGTTCTCTTTCCGTCTCCCAGCGCCAACGGCTGTAGCGATTGCCTCACCCTACTCGAAAATCCTCTCCCTACTTTCGGAAACAAGCAGGACCGAAGAGATTTCTATGGTTCTAGAGGTTCCAGATTGTGATCATGTGTCATACCTAACCCTAAACCCTAAACGCGTTTGGGGCGGGGGGTGCATTGTTGCGCGGAAGAAGCATGAGATTGCTATGGGGATTTGATGGATCCCAGAACGATGCCTTATCCTGGCTTGCTGTGAGGGAACTTTAACTAAGTTACCATCATATGGGTATCTGATAAAATAGAGTTTCCTTTTTGAATGTTTTCCATTTTAAGTTACTTAACAGCAACGCCGTATCTCCTTGCCTTGTAGCACACTTTGGGCTTTCGTAAGTACGGGACCGCCCCATTTTGGACCCCATTGTTCCTGTAATGGATCTTATTATGGGGACTCCCAAAAAGGGGCCCCTACCCTTTGGAAACCCCCATGCGGTTGAAGGCTTTGTTAGGTTCCTTGATCCTTGCTTTTGTTTTTGCACTGCCCTAGGCCTTGTGTGGACATCTCCGAAGTGAGGACCTGCGATTCCGATTCCGATAGAATGAAGCATGAAGTTCAGCTTCGTTTATGTAGCAATATTTCTGCATGTGTAAAGCTTGGACAGCTCAACAAGGTTGTACAGCAAAGTTGAAAGCCTGCAATCGAGTGCAAAGTTGAGCAATTCTTGTTGCACGGCTGCAAGACTATCTGGAGCTTTTGGGCTGCGTGTCTTGCAAATGATCTTTACGGGTACCTTCACCAAGCAAGGACTATTATACAAACTGCACAAACTAGATAACTTTCTTTATGACGTCTTGTCGACAGACATCCTCATATAAAGCAAGTCATGCAACGAAAGGTACATCTTGTACATGGTCAGAAACTTGTAAACCTTGAACCCCTCCCTCGGAACCCAAAGCCTGTCCCCCATACCTAAACCCTTATACTGTATACCTTAAACCTAAACCTAAAACCTTATACCCTAAACCCTTAAACCCCAGACCTTTCTTTCTCTGCCGGCCGTCCTCAAGTCCCTCCAGCACCAGGTCCGGGGTCTCTTTGGATGAGGACCTGAATGGGTTTCGGGCTTAGGGTTTGGGGGTTTTAGATGGAACCGTGCAAGGAGCGAGCGCTGTACGGCGACAAAGGGCGTAAATTAATGTTCCGGAGGCTAGAAATTCTAGGATATCCTGGATACTCGGATACTCTGGATATGCGTAGCCAAGTGCTGTATCATTTCTTCCCCCAAACGATACACTGTTCCGCTTGTTTTGGGGTTCTGGACTGAACTTGAAGATGGCGTGACTACACAAGCTTACTGCACTTAGATTTTAGTTGATTTGATGGTGCTTGCTGTTGGAATCGTTTAGTCAAACAACTAACAAAAGACTTGCATGATAACTTTGATCATCAGGCGGAGAGGTTTAGTCTCAACAAAACCGGACAACCTCAACGCAGATCCTGCACAACCCCATGCAATTAATACTTTAGCCGCCTACCTACATGCTTTTGATGAAAACTGCATGTACAGCACAAGCCTCCAACGTAAGCTCTTTCCCAAACTAACATGGCAACCCATGTAGGACGCATATGGTAACTTTCCAAGAAAAACCCTGCATGATACCTAAAGAAGGAGGCCCCTTCGACCAAAAGTATACTTTTCGAGAGACTCCCAGGTCCCAAGCGCTAAATCCACAGCCATAAACCGCATGGAAGGGGCGCAGTCTCCACCACGACCTTTGTCAGCACATTCCTGACAACTCGGGGGTCGGTACAGATGTAGGCCCGCATCCTACCCCCCCCCAAAAGACTGCAATTCTCGATTGCTGAGGTGACCCTCATTTTTGGAAGCCCCCCAAAAGTGGGGTCTGAGCTATGGAGTTCATGCAGGACTCTATGTAGAATCCCGGGCTGTGTCGGAATGATTACAATTCCAGCATTTTCGAAGTAAAGGGGTAGCATATTACAATTCCAGCATTTTCGAACATAAGGGGTAGCATGAATGGACCCCGCGGGAAATGGGAGATGTTCGGTGCCTTCCTTACTGAGGACTGTATGAACGCCTGGGCTTCCTTGTACTGAGAGACCAGGAGGGCGTGCTGTTAGGGTTCTTGGTTTAGGGCTTATAGACTTTAGGGTTGAGGGTTGAAACCCTAAAGCCTACAAACCCTCAACCAAAAAAGCCTAACTAGGGTCTAGGGCTTTGCTTTTAGGATTTAGGCTTTGGGGCTTAGGAATTCTGGTCTAGGGTTTAGGCTTTTGGGTTGAGGGTCCAGGCTGGGGGTTCTACGGGATAAGCAGGGACGATGCGGGGAGACACAAGGATGTACAGGGTTCAGGGCTTACTGGGTTGCTGTTAAGGAACTTAGACTAAGTTACTACAAGAATGAAAGCCGGTTATCTGCTATATACCCATAACATGGTAACTCAAATCAAGCTCCTCAATAAATAGCAGCCCATCTAAGGGCTTGGGAAACCTGGCTTTTAGGGTTTAGGGTTCAGGCTTTAGGGTTATAGGGTTTGGGCGTGACCAAGAATCTCCCATTACCCAGGGTCCCTGACGCACTGCTGTTTTGAGAAACTCCTACGACCTGGAGGCATGACAAATTTGCCTAGTTTTTTGGGATTCTGCTGCTGAGGCGTCCCTCTTCCGACAGGTGTATTAAAAGTAGGAGAAACAACTGGTGAGGAAAATGGACAATCAAATGGGCATGCGTCACAGAAAGCTGCTACAACTGTTCTGCGGAGTTGGTTGTCCTTTGCACGCCGGAGATGGAGGATTTGGGGTTTAGGGTTTAAGGTTTAGGGTTTAATCCTTTGTCTACTTTGGTTCTCAACATCGGGAGCCCAACTTCACCCCGGCCATATAGTGTTGCAAATTTGTATTTTGTATGGACAGACAAACCCAATAGCAACAAAGAACCTGCTTTCTTATTCCATTTAATCAGCCTCGGCTCAAGTTGATTTTCCCACAAGCTGACCTTTCGATGCCCCATCATTTGTTTTGCTTCAATCTTACCCTGGACTCCATGTCTATACATAATACCTACATTGGGCCCCAATGTGTATAAACAGTACCTACATTGGGCCATTTGGAGCCCTAGAGTTATAAGCCTTAGGGGTCCTAAGCCGTGGTGCTGAGGGTACTTGGTTTCCCGCATCCCGGCTTCAGTCTTATCCTTTTGAGTCCCAGTACCTGTATATGGCGGGCACTTCATGGAAAAGCGGCCTAGGTGTATGCCATTGGCGCACTTATATCCTGCGGGTATGAGTCTGTCAAGCTGCGGGATGAAGCAGCAACACGCAGTTCCTGCTGGTTCACTGACGTCGCAATCCTTACAACCAGTGGGCTCCGAAATGTCAAGCCCCTCTTTGAGGTCCCCTGGAATGATGTTTGTAATCCACATAGGTATATTTTGAATCACTAGCGTTGTGTTGCAGAACACTTGTTGAAGGATGTAAGTTCTAACCCCGTTGCAACTAGAGTGCTATAATATATCGGGCTACATCAGGCAAACCCGCACTGTGGGACATTGGTGCAGGTGTCTTCGCGTTGGCACGGGTTCATGGTCGCTCAACCAAATGAGATGCGAACTGGTGGGCTTTTCCAGCAAAAAAATCTCAAAATCTTCACGCCGTTGCCGATGCCTGTTGAAGCTTCCAAAGGTGGGGCTCTAATCCAAATGTCGTGTTGGACTGCAAAACTTGCGCCTTTATGCATATGTTAATGAAGACATGTGTTGGTCATGTTTAACGCATGAACCATTGTCTAAACTCCTAGTATCCCCCTTATTAACCCTTTTCATCATCCCCTACATAATCCCCTATATAACCCTTTAAGGAGCTTAGACTGTGGCTCACATGACATTTCAATCGGTCCACGGTACTGTCATTGATGTCAGATCCCACGCCGCAACGGCAGCTCAGCCATCATAATGGTTGGGCAAGCCAACGACATGCATGCTACCCTAAACCCAAAACCCCTGGTGGCAACCGTCACCCGCTAATTTGGCTAGTGCAATAACACATTTTCACTTGAAACCAGAAATTCCGCCACTTCCAAACCAACATGGATGTCCTAAGAACCCTAGGGACCCTAGGGTTTAGGGTTTAGGGTAGAACGGCAAACAAAAACATGACTGGTAAGGGAACATAATGTCGTAATGGGTCCTTGTTTTAGGGAGATTTCTCTTACCGGTAAGCAGGTGCGAGTGGCTGTGATCTTCTCATATGGCACCGTCTTGCTCACTTTCCTGAATTGCGGACAGCCATAATCTAAACTCCTCGTATCCCCCTTAATTAGCCCTTTCGTAATCCCCTATATAGTCCCCTACATAACCCCTTTAAAGGAGTTGAGAACCTAAAAGCTGTATGACGCTTTAAAGAGTTTCGACTATAGCTCAATTAAGCTTCTTTGCTCTGTAAGCCGGTGGGGCATTCACACACGGGACGCGCGGATTATATCACGGCCATACTCATGATAAAACCTTTCAAAAATGGACGCGCCTAATCCATTTGAAGCCACTAGAATCCCTATGTATATCTAATGAACGTTCCGTCATCTTCCTGACGTATCACATTATACCGTTATACCCGTATGGCGCCCCTAAAAGTACCCATGTTGTTGACGTGGCCCAATGTAGACCAGAACCCTATGAAAAGCCCAAATCAAAGAAGCAAGGATTCTCGAACTTTTTCTCCTGAAATTTTAGAAGGAAGTCATACAAACGAAGTGCCCTCCCAAAGCATGACAGTTGGAAATCCAGGAATCCAGGGTCTCTGCAATGCTTCTAATTACAATGTGGAGGGACTTCACATAGGCCACAATCCTGTGGAAAGCACAAGTCAAAGAATCAAAAGATTCTGCATTGTAAACCCCCCAAACCCACAACTTTTTTAAACTCAAGACAAACCCCCTACACATATCTTCCGTTCACCGTTCAATTACCATTATCCCTTTTTAACTAACCCCTATAAGTAGATGGAATATGAATTTGGGTATAGTATAATAAGATCCCCATATACCCCACATTCTACTTCAGGGGGACTGTAAACGTGGAGGATTAAAAACAAATAAGCAATAAAAAACAAGATCTGAGGATCAAAGCAAAACAAATAAAGACCAAAAGCAAAACAAGATACTGGATTTTATGGTAAAATTGGTAGAACAGAATCAAATCCGCGCACCAAAAAAACCAAAAGGTGTTCAAAACTCGTGAAAACTTATGGGAGTTTGGACGATGAAAAAGAACAAATAAGGATCTGCCAAAAAACAAAGAGTTGCTGAGCACTCTTGAAAATTCGTAAAAACTCGTAAACATCGTGAAAATGAAAATTCATGGGATTTTGTGAGAATTGATGAAAGATGCTGAAAATCACAACATGGCCGAAGAGCTGGTGTAGGTGTACTGCGGGTCAGCAGTGTAGGTCACTGGAGCCGGCATGGTCCTCACCATGTAGGGAGCTTCTGCGGCATAGGTCGTGGCCGGCAGCGCAGCCATGGCCGAAAAGCCGCTGTAGCCTGCAGCGCCGGTGTAGATGGCCGTCACCGGCATGGTCACGTAGATGGGCTCCGCGTGGACCGCCATGGTCGACTTGGGTTGCCTGCAGGATCTTGGATTACTATGTAGGTGGTTCTCAGCATGGGAGCTGAACCACAGCTTGTCGTAGAAAGAAGCCCTGAACGGACTGAAGCACCGCTTCTCTAAACTCTGGCCCTCAGCCTAACCTGCCCTAAACCCTACACACATCGCAGCTTGGGAAGCCCAATCCGCAGTTTGGACAAGTGTGCTCATTTCAAGCGCATCCATCCTGATCCGTCACTCATATCATGGCAATGGGGTGGCGGATTCTGAGAGGGCTCCTGCCTCAAAGGGTTGCAGGGGAGTTGCTCAAAACGGTCCCATAGGAATCCTCCATAGGTAGCTTGTCGGACGATCAAAAAGAACGAATAAGGATCTGCCAAAAAAGAAAATTAGTTGCTGAGCACTCGTGAAAATTCGAAAAAACTCGTAAACATCGTGAAAATGAAAATTCATGGGAAGTTGTGAAACTTGATGAAAGATGCTGAAAATCACAACATGGCCGAAGAGCTGGTGCAGGTGTACTGCGGGTCAGCGGTGTAGGTTACTGGAGCCGGCATGGTCGTCACCATGTAGGGAGCTGCCGCGGCATAGGTCGTGGCCGGCAGCGCAGCCATGGCCGAAAAGCCGCTGTAGCCTGCAGCGCCGGTGTAGATGGCCGTCACCGGCATGGTCACGTAGATGGGCTCCGCATGGACCGCTATGGTCGAGGGAGGTAGCTTGTTGGACGACTAAAACGAACGAATAAGGATCTGCCAAAAAAGAAAATTAGTTGCTGAGCACTCGTGAAAATTCGAAAAAACTCGTAAACATCGTGAAAATGAAAATTCATGGGAAATTGTGAAACTTGATGAAAGATGCCGAAAATCACAACATGGCCGAAGAGCTGGTGTAGGTGTACTGCGGGTCAGCGGTGTAGGTTACTGGAGCCGGCATGGTCGTCACCATGTAGGGAGCTGCCGCGGCATAGGTCGTGGCCGGCAGCGCAGCCATGGCCGAAAAGCTGGCGTAGCCTGCAGCGCCGGTGTAGATGGCCGTCACCGGCATGGTCATGTAGATGGGCTGCGCATGGACCGCCATGGTCGAGATAGGTAGCTTGTTACACTACGCCTAGAGAGGATGCTGTATAGAAGCCAAAGTCTTGCACAAAGATTCTTGCAACATGCAACGTGTTCATGGATTCACAATGTCTGGCAGTTCTCGCAATAGCTGGCTGCACATCACGACGGGCAACTGTCCCCTCTCGCCCATGACATGATGATAACAATAGAGTCTGCAAAACTACCTGATTTCAAACAGCAGCGGAAGAAGCAGCTCATTTTGGCAGGAGTGTTCCACCAGTAGGGCTTAAGCGCGCGAAAAGGTCCTTGTGGAAAAGGTGAGGCGCGCAACTGTCTCATGAACGGAGACCCACTTCCCTTGCCAGCACTTCTGCAGGCTGCCTAAAGATGACAATGTTAAGTCCAGTCCCAAGGTGGGCACCCAAAGCCAGAATAAGCGCTATCTTTTCTGGAGGCCGGGAACTCGGGTCGTTTGATAAATATCCCCCCTAAAATGTAACACGGATCGGAATAATTTTGACTTCACATTAGACATTTGGGACTAGACCCACATTCACAAAATCCCGGCGCCGGAACACAATAGTAAGAAGACCCAAAATTAAAATATTTCCGGCAAATGTTACTTTGTGGACAACGAACTCAGTTACGTTTTACTTGGTTCTGCCTAGACGTCCAAACTACATTTTGGCATTATTCTTCCAGTGCTGTCCCAGAACGGAGATAGATCAATCGGAGGGCGGGGGTTCATTAACGCGAAGCCAACATTCTATACGTTGGGGGCGGTGGGCGTTTGATGTTTGGGGAAGGATTCATGCAAGTGTCAGATGCAACATGTTGTGTAAGTTCTTGCCTGATCATGGCCACTGACCCATATCCTAACGCGGGCATCCGAACAGCAAAATGTGTTGTAGAGGAGTGAGCGCAGGCGTGCAGGACCCTCAAATTTAACAAGGGTCGACTAGGCAGGGGGTGCAGTTTGCTTCATACAGGCTCAATTGCCTCCGTCAGCGATCCTCTCTAATGTCTTAATATTGGCCAGGGATGACACTGAGGTCACAAAAAATTTCGACGACAGTTCTCCACGTGCCTTTTTGATGTGGTTTGATATGGCTGCAACTGCCGTGAAGCCGGCGCCACTCAAGGCAGCCTTTAAACAGCGAACCCCATCACACGCAACGGCTCTGTATGATTTTCGCGTACTTCTACCCTCCTTCAATGTCCAACTTCGTTGAGAATGGCTCACACTGATCACTGCAGGCATGTATGTTGGCACTGGAACCGGCATGATCGTCACCGTAGTGGGCTGCCGCGGCGTATGTCATGGCCGGCATTGCGGCCGTGGAAATGGTGTGGCCCGCAGCGCCGGTGGAGATGGCCATAGCTGGCATGGTCATGGCTCGGATCCTTTGAGTGAAAGGTGGGGGTTCAGCAAGACTCTTAATAAGGCCCTAATTAGCAGTAGTCCCTAATAAGGCAGTACTTCAAAATGGTCCCTAATAAGCCCCTATCTCGAAATAGTCCCTAATAAGGGTGTAGTTTGAAATAGTCCCCAATAAGGCCCGAATTTGAAATCGTACCTAATAAGGCCCTAATTTGAAGTAGTCCCTAGCAAGGCCCTCATTCGAAATGGTCCCTAACAGTGCCCTAATTTGAAATCGTCCCTAATCAGGCCCTAATTTGAAATAGTTCCTAATAAGGCTTTCATTCGAAATAGTCCCTAATCATCCCCCCCTGAACCTTGTTCTTACACCCAAGTAAATAGGTGTGATGCATCTCATGGCTGGGCTCCGGACCTTCAATCACGCGAAAGGGCACCAATCAAAACGATGCTGGAGCCAGGAAGGGGAAGCAAAGGATTCTCTGGCTATGGCTTGGTGTGGCTTGGGGCGCTCGTCAAGTTGGAAAAACATGCGTTTCCAAAGATCAGACGCATTCAGCAACGGCCCGTCTCATTAACCCCTGTCAAGCTTGCATCTGGATGGCACCACATGGTTACGCATGTGCTCCAAGGAAACTCGGTCCATTCAGCATCGCCCCTTTCGCATCCTGATTATGAGGTCAGTACCGTGGCAGGTGCTCAGGGGGCACCTGTCCCTAGCAGTAGAAATGCAAGCATGCCCCAATCATACTCTTTGCATGCCTCTGACTGAACACGGGAATTGTGAAAACTGCTTCTTGACGAACATGCACATGAATTAGCCTTAGAATGACTTAGATAGGTGCTTCGCACCCACGAGAAAACGTATGCCCACACATGCCCATCACGTTTCAGAACCAGTGAGGGATGCAAAAACTGAGAGCTCAGCGTCAATGAACTCTCCGCACAAGATGTCGTCTCAAATGCTCCTCTGCAGCAGGTCTGATGACCATGTTGCAGCAACTGTCGCCGCTGATGACACCTGAATTCCGGGATGAAGTGCAAATCATTTTCTGCCCTTGGAACGTGGGCTCACACGCGCGGCAATCAGACCATGCTTTCCAATGTAAACTTGTTGGCTGGGATACTAGTCATAGCTTCGTTGATAGCTCCTCATTCAGCAATTAACGCTTCAGAGCCCAGTGAATTCAAGCATCAATGCCACTCTGGCACCTGCAGGGTGTCGGGTCAAACTGAGTACCGTGACATCACCATCTCGCCCACAACACGTGCGTCACCCCGGTTCAGAGTCAGCAAATCACAAGAAGCCAGCTGTCGAACTGATCCAGTTGTTGTCTTCCTTGCTTTCGTTGTTTCTTTCTTTGTTTATTTCTTTCTTTCTGGCGTTCTTTCCTCTTCCGGCTCTGGGTCGAATATGTTGTTTTTGTTTGGATCCCTGCTCGGGAGGCCAGAACTATAAAATTCAGCATTTTTGTTGTATTATTGATCCTTATTTGTTTTTGTTGATCCTTGTTTATTCTTTGTGTGATCCTTATTTGTGTTTTTTTACCCCCTTCTGGACTATAACCCCAGTATATACCCTATAACAAAATAGAAGTTGCCATTTTCTTTTCCATTATCCCTATATAACCCCTACATCATCCCTATCTGCTTAAGGGGGACTCTAACCCTAAAGCAGACCCAGCCGCCCAGAGTCGGTGCAGGACAAGCCGCACATCCTGCGCTTAAGGCGCGCGATTTAAGTTTTCAGGCTAGGATGCTATCATTTAGGTTTGAGAGCTTCAGGTTTAGGGCCTAGGTTTCGGGGTTTAGGTTGTAAAGCTTCCGACTACCTAATTTCATATCTGTAGAGTTTAGGTCGTGCGTCTGCTGACCTGGACATCTAGAGCTCAGGTCTAGGTTTCCGTTGCCTCAGGTCGACCTTTTGAGGTTGTAGCCGTGACCTGGACCCTGGAGATCCCTCCTTCTTGTAAAGGTATGCTGTAACTTGCTGTAACGTTAGGCCCACATCCAGGGTCCAGGTAAAGTTTTCTTCTGTTGACAGTTCTTAGGGGATAGGATTAAAGGTTTCAAGGTTGGCGGTTGTGGGGTTGTGGGCTTGGGGTTTGGTGCAGGGTTGTATGTTGGCCTGGGTCCCACCTTGAAGTCAGAAAACCTTCCGTGGTGTTCTGGGATGCAGACACAAAGCTACAAAGCTAGTTTGCAGGGGAGCCAGAAGGTCATCTGGATTGAACATGAAACCCGAACCCTAAACCTGAAGCCCTAAACCCTAAGCCTGGGATAAGCAGACCTCAGAAAGACAGCTTCAGCCGGTTCCCAAGGGAAGCCATGGAAGGTGACATCGTAACTAGCTTCGGCACACGTGATCTATGGTCTAAACTCCTCAGAGAGGGTTTAGGGTTTATACAGGGGATTCTATAGGTGAGCATTACGGGAGGTATTAAGGGGGATACCAGGAGTTGCTCTCAAAAGCCCCCTTCTCGTGCAAGTCTCTCAAAATGTTCTGCATAGAATTCTTCTGGGAACGTCTGCAATCAGTTTGGAACCAAGATATCGCCGTAGAATCCCTCAAGCTACCCTATAGTCCAATAAATTCACAACAGTAGCAACCCCTGATTTTGATTTTTGTTGGTTGGCACTTCATACCTGGCATGTTTAACATTAACCCCCTTTGCACTGGAAGACCAACACAGCAGCTGGCCAGGAAAAAGGAACAGAATACGCGCGGTTGCCTCAAGCTACGCATGACTCCTTTCCCGCAATCTCTAAAATGAGAACGACAGCGCACTGAGTCTGTAGTGGACATGTGGGCTGTTAAAGCCTAACTTTAGGCTTTAAAGCCCAATGTTTAGGCGCCTACACTACTCCCGGTACCGCCTCTGAAGGATGGCGTCTTTTCTGTGGTCCCCGTGCTGTGCAACATTACATGGGGCTCCTGCATGCATCTTCCACACACCTCTTACATTCCAGGCTTCTCCCTTTGGGAGGGTTTTAGGGTGTCTCTTACTGGTTCTTAGCAGGGAATAAGGGAACATTCTCCCTCTATAACCCTTGTAGGCCCTATAAGATATCTTCCCATATTCCCTACTAACCACAGAATTGTTTGTCTAGGGTCTTCAGCAACAATTCGAAACACCGCCGAGCTGCGTCGGATGCTTGTCTTGGACATACTTGATACCTGTTCGTGTCTGAGGTGGTTCCAACCCTAGGGTTGAAGGTTCTGATAGAACAAAGCATGCTGCCTGATGATGTTGGCCCCTCTGTCTCTTGCCTCCTAAGCATCAGGGGGGCACTAGAAAAAATTCGAAAGTCTAGATGCTCGTCACTAAGCCTCTACCTGGAACCAAAATCAGGTTCACATCCCCCCAAAAAAGTCGCCCAGATTGCGTTTCATTTTCGAGGTTATCTCCATTTGACTCTTCATTCATTATGATAACCAAAACCCTCCCTATCCCGACATAACCCCCACAAAGCTCTCAGCACTAAATCTTACACGTTCATTTGGGGTTCAAATATACGCCTAGCCTAAACCACAAGCCCTAAACCCTAAACCCTAAACCCTAAACCCCTAACCCTACACCCCGAAATGCCGCAAGGGTGCCATCCTGGGTCAGGGCGACATGCTTCGCCTGCGTGGCCCACTCCACATTCCTGGGCTTCCCGAAAAGGGTTTAGGGTTCAGGGTTTAGGGTTTAGGGTTCAGGGTTTAGGGTTTAGGGTTCAGGGTTTAGGGTTCAGTGTTTAGGGTTCAGGGTGTAGGGTTGGTTCAGGGCTTCGGGTTTAGGGTTTAAGGCTTTGGGTTTGAAGTTTTGGATTGCAATTAGGGTGTTTAGGATCTAGTGCTTAGGATGTACATTGGGTTTTTGGATGTGGATTTCAAGTTCAGAGCTTGGGATTGCAGGTTTAGGATTCTTTGGTTTTGAAGGATAGGATTTAGGTTTTGGAGCTATAGGCTTTACAGGTATCTTATGTGTTAGACCCAGGGCGGGGTTCCTGCCAGGGTGTCAAGAGGCCGTGTTTTGAGAAGCTCCCTAAGCCCCTAAACCCTAAATCTACGAGCCCCCCCCCCTATTTGCCCGCACCAAATGCGCGCTAATCGGAATGTGCTGCGTATAGCAGTGTATTGGTGGTTGTGGATGTAGTCGAAGTGAACGTTATTATGGGT